CACAGACAATAAAAAGAAAGCTACCATTATCCAATACATAAGAAGTAACAGATCTAAGAAATGATTACTGGTGACGACTAAAATCATTAAAGAAAGGTTGGTGAGGAATTTGATAATGAAAGAATGAGACACCCGTGCCCACTGCTCAATATTAACATCTCTAAAAGTGGGACAACCAGACATAGTTTCCTGATATTTTGTAATAAGAAGTACACAAAACAATATATGAAGTATTGGTCAAGAAAAAAAAAATTGAAGCAGAATCTAATCAAGTCTCTAAGTGTAACTTTCAGTTTACAGAAAATAAAAAGAATAAAGGAATGTGTTAAATTACACCATGAGAATGATGACCACCAAGACCAGAATGTGCGAACTCTCTAAGACTAATGACCCTTCAACGAATAAATGATGTAGGGGGAAGAGGAGAAGAAAGACCAATCAGAGATGAAAAGAGATTTAAGAACAAAAGGAAAAAAAAAGACTTAAGACACATCTGTCTGATGAAATGTGTAGACTTTATTTGGCTCATGATTCAAGTGAACCAACCATAAACAGGCTCTTCTGAGACAGGGAAAATGGAACGTAGATTGGTAGACTGGAAGGCATTACTGTTAATTTTGTTGAGTATGATAATGACACTGAAGTTAGATGCAAGTCTTAAATAAAATGACATGATGTCTTGGATGTCCTTTAAAATATACTAGAAAAAAAAGCACAAAACTTCTACAGAGAAAATGATCAAATTTTACTAGGATATTAAAGAGAACCTAAATAAATGGAAACATATACCATGTTTACAGACTGTAAGTCTAACTTTATCAAGAGGGCAATTCTCTCCAAACTGACTTATAGATTCAGCCCAAACCCAACAGAAATCCTAACAGGTGTTTTGTTTTATTAGAATCTCATAAGCTGATTTTGGAATTTACATGGAAATGCAAAGGACCAAGAATAACAAGTCACATCAAAGAAAAACCAAGTGGGAAGTCTTGCTTGATCAAATACCAAGACTTATAAATCTACAGAAATCAAGACAGTGTGGTATTGGCTGAGGGGGAGACACTGAAAGAAAAGACAGTCCAAACCAAGATCACTATGTCTAACAGCAGTGGCATGCCAGGGCACTGGGAAGAGGACACACTACTGAAAGCAGTATTGAGACCATCAGGAAATTAAGCTGGACCCCTCTTTCACACAATGAACAAAAATTAATTTCAGATGGATTATAGACATAACTGTAAAAAGAAATAAAGCCTTTATAGAAATATAAAACAATTATGTTTATGATCTTGGGGTAGAGGAAGACATTTTAAAGAAGCTTCAAAATACACTAAGGATAAAGGAAAACGCTGATAAATTTAACTACACTAAAATAAACATCTTCTGGATACCGAAAAAAAAACAGCACAAGGAGACCTAAAACAAGCTGCAGAATGAGAGAAAATGTTTACCATACATAGCTGACAAAAGTTTGAAATCTAGAATATATAAAGAACTAGAAACTAGTAAAAGACAGATGATCCATCTTCCCCCACTCCCAAACAAAATATTTAAACAGGCACCTCACAAAAAAGAAATACAGATGTCCAACAAACTTATGAGAAGGTGTTCAAGCTCATAAGTAAGGAAAATATAAATAAAAATCACAAAACAATATACATTACCAAATTGGCTAAAATTTTAAAAGCTAACAATACCAACTGGCAGATAAAAGGTAGGGCAAACGTGGGAGTGTAAACTGATGCAGCCACTTTGGAACACTGGCACTATCTATTACAGTAGAAGATAAGCACATCTCATCCCATAGGAAGGCCTTCCTGGATGTAGGTCCTACAGAAATGCATAATATGTACCCTCAGATTCATAGGCCAGATTGTTCACAGCAAAACTATTCGTAACGGTGAGGAAACTTGAACTACTCTCTAGCACTAAACGCGTAAGTGCTGGTATATTCAAACAGAACACCGTCAAACAGAAGGAACGAACTCAAAACTCTACGTAAAGCTACAACAATAACGGAGCCCATGTGACTTCATATATTCCAGGTTCAGAAACAATAAAGTTAAATTCTATTGTTTGGAGGTAGATACTTAGGCGCTACCTAGAAAGAACATGAAGGATGTGATGAACATAAAAAAACCAGACAGTGGTCACCACCTGGCAGGGAGAGGTAGTCAGGGATGGCGGGGGCGCAGACTCCAGGGCGACCTGAGTGAGGGCTGCACGGGCATCTGTTCCATAAAAACTCCTTAGTCTTTACATGTCTGTTTTATCCAATCATCTCCATGCATTATATTTCACAATAAACGAAGTTTTACGGCAAGTTGATAAAGAATAAGATTAAAAGAGAAAAACCACCTGATAATCTCAATAGATGTGAAAGAAGTATTACATAAAATTCAGATCTCACTGAGGCTTTTTGAAAACTCTTAGTAAGTTTATTTTATAAAATAAATGAGCTGTACTCTTCAAAAATGTCAATAGTGTCATGAAGGGCAAAGAAGGCTAAGAAACCATTAAAAGACAAAGGAAACTAAAAAAACAGAAGTATCAGATGCAGCACATGATGCTGGATTGGATTCTGGCCCTAAAAGACAAATAAAAATCCTGACATAAAGGACACCTTTAGGACAACTGGAAAAATTCGATTAAAATCCATGTATTAGATAACCGCATTAGACCAAAGTTAAATGCCCTGATTTTGATCATTGTACAGTGATTATGTAAGTGACTATTCATGTTCTTAGAAAAATGTCCTCTGAAGATTTAGAGGAAAAGCAACATGATGCCTACAACTTACTATCAAAGGTTCAGGAAAAAAAAATGTAAAAATCCAGAGAGAATGATAAATCAAATGTGGCAAAATGTTAACAATTGATGAATCTTAGTAAAAGAACCTTTCTACTCTTCTTGCACCTTTTCTGTAAGTGCAGAATTACTTGTTAGATTTATAAATGATCTCTAGCAAACCAGAAATACAAAGAAATATAAACCAGAAATGTAAATTTTCTGAAGCTGGTAAGAGGTAGCTTACTGATAGGAAAAGAAGAAATGAAACTATCATTTTCAGACAAGATCATTGTGATATGTACAAAACCCAAAAAACCCACAGGGAAGTTATTAAAATTAGTAAGTGGACTTAGCACAATCAGTGGAGACAAAATCACAACATAAAAATCAATTTCATTTTCAAATATCAGCAACAATTAGAATACAAATTTTAAGAAATGATACAATTTACATTCACATAAAAGATCAAATACCCAGAACTAAATCTAACAAGATACAGAAGCTCTCTATAACAGAAAACTATGTATTATAGTCTCGTAGTTCTTTATGTCTGTATGTTCATGTGCATACGCACACCAAAAAAGAGAAAGAAATTGAAGAAAATCTTAAAAAATGGAAGGATTAAAAAACTAAGTATTATAAAGATGTCAATTCTTTATAAACTGATTTTAGACACACTGCAGTTCCAATGAAAATCCCAGCTGGGTTTGTTTTTTTTTCTAGAAATTGATGAACTCATGCTAAAATGCATTTGGAAATGCAAAGGACCGTCTCAAAGGAAGAAGAACAGAAGGAGTACTGAGTGTACCTGAGACAAGACTTCGATGAGGAAGTCACGGTAATGAAGACAGTGAGGTCCTGGTGCCATGACAGCTGAACGGACAGATGGAGCAGACCAGGAAGTCCCGATACAGGCACTTGACTTAAGACAAAGGTGCCAATGCAAGGCACAGATAAAAGGTAGTATTTTCCCTAAACGGCACCGGGTCAACTGGCTGCCATAGGAGGGAAATGAAACGTGACTCCTACCTCACATCATACACAAACAGAAAGAGCAATTCCGGGTGGACTGCAGACCCACGTGTGAAAGGGAAAACAATTACACTTCAAGACAATACAAGAAAATAGCCTGGTGGCCCTGAGGGAGGCAAAGGTTTCTTAGACATGACAGGAAAAGTGCTAACCATAAAAGAGAAGGCTGATAAAGCACGGACTACATTTAAATTAAGAACTGCTCATCAAGACACTGTTCAGAGAACCATCATTTTCCTATCTGTACAATTGAGATAATAATTGGATTCACTCAGCAGCAACTGCTGTGAGCCTTCTATGATGTAATAGATGAAAAGACACAGAATATAATTTTTTAAAGTAAGAGTGAATGGAAAGTAAATAAAAAGCCTCCGTGAGTATCATCCAGTCTGTACAGAACAGTGTACTTAAGGGAAGATGCAAGGGAGGCACAGGGAGAGAAGTCCAGAGCACAGCTCAGAACGAAATACATGCAAAGCTTTGGAAGTGGAAGGACAGGCTGTGTGTAACCGCGAGGAGAAAGACAAGGTAGACACATGGCCTACCTGACGGAGGAAGGGAGACAGGAAGAGAGATGCATGTCCCACCCCCGGGCAGGAAGGAAGGTGCCTTCAGATTCAGCTTCAGGCAAATTATGCATTGAAAAAATTGAAAAAGATGCCTCCGTTTCTGCTTTCTTCCTGAAAAAACTGTCAAGTCATCTACTGAAAGTAAGAGGTCTGGTCTGAGCCAGAGCGGAATCCTGCCAGCCCCACAAGGAAAGACAAGAGACAAGGGCAGGATAAGCTGCATGAATGCCTGTGAAGCATGGCACAGTCAAAACTGCAATAAGCAAGCGGTGCTCCAGCCCATGCATCCCAACGACGGGGCACACTGCGCTTCTCGGAGGATTGCACATGTGGGAAAACCCAGGGAGCAATCCTTATTATCTACACACCATCAAATTGCATCACCATTTCCTTCCTGGCTTACCAGGTGGTCAGTAAAACAGTAACAGGAATAATGGAGAAGTCTAATAAAACGGTCCCATTCAGACAGAATCCCAGCATCCTGGAGACAGCCCGTACTCCACCCCATCATGAGGCCCCTCAAAGCTGTCATAGGGAAGTGGCCACCAGTGTCAGCTTACCCCAGATACAACAGAGGGCTGTAAGTGTGCACAGGGCTGGCAAGCTTACCGATTGAAGATGTTACCGATGAAGGCATACTTTTCCAGGGAGTGAGTGGAGGCAGGTTTTCCTGGCCTGGAATGCCCAAGAAGGTCGATACCCTCATGCCACTGCAATCTGGACCGTAGTCTTCAAATCCATCTAAAGGGGAAGAGGGGGAAAAAAACACTTACAAGTGTGCATCAACTGCGACAAGTCACACTTGGGGAAAGATGCAGCCTTGTGGCCCATTTTCTACTTCTGCAGCCCTTCCCAGCTAAAGCCTCTGAGGACTGCAAACTTGACAATTCATCTAAAATGAAGCGTGCAGGTTTATAACCCAAGAGAAGAGTGATCATACCAGAGTCATAAAGAAAAGCTGGACACCCTTCCTTTAGTGCTGTCGGTCTAACGCATGAGTGCCCTCCAATCAGCACAGACAGGGACCTCTCCTCCATCGAGAGCCCAGAAGCAAGTGCACAAAGAAGCTCGACCCTAGGAAAGATGGCCACGGAGTTCTACGCAAACAGGTCTAAAATGGCTGGCCTGGCAACACCCAACCAGACCCCTCCACCTGGATGTCCAACAGGTTCCTCCAACCTGCTCTGCCCCAAACTGAGCCCGCTGTCATACCCACTCTTCCTTCTTAAGCCTGCTCTTCCCTGCATTCCCAACTGAGGGCAGGCATGCCCCTCTTGCCAATGTACTGGAGTGGCTGAACTCATGGGCTCCAGAGACAAACATCCCTGGAACGGAATGAATCTCCCAACTACCACTTAGAGCTGTGTGACCAGAGTACGTGATTTAACCTGTGTACAAGTCCATGTTCTCATATGCAGAGTGGATATCAAACTCCCCTCTTGCCCCATCAGGATGTTGGAACACATGAGTTCATACACGTCAAGACCAGAGGGATATGGCCCCCAGGATCTGGCCAGTCTTGACCCGGGCCACCACCAGTTATGCAGCCATGTTTCAGGGTGAAAATGCTTCCCTACTATCACTTGTACTGAAATAGCTGTGTGGGAAGTACTACTGGTACAGAAAAGCAGAGGGTTCCTACCTGGTAGCTAGGAAAAGCGCAGTTAATTTAGGCAGTCAGTGGCAGTTTAAAATAAGAGATGACAAGTTTGTGCCTAGGTCCTTACTTTTCTTGGAAACACTAACCACATTTTTTTCTCAACCAGTTCTTTTAGGCTAGTAATTAGAACTTATTAAAATTTTACACTGTATAACAGTTACTGAGAGAATGTTCATAAAAAATTACATACTTGTAGAAAAAATATGCATGACACAATCAAAGACATCATTTCTCTGAATGATCCCCGCCAGGGATGAACAGGTCCACACGGTTCAAGCCCACAGTCCCTTTCTATGAGCTATTCTCGGTGCATTTCAGGGCCCAGGAGGAACATGCAGCTCACCCTGCAGATATTTACAGAGCTGCACGGCTGCAGCCTAGAGTGGACTTCAAAGCGTTGGGTTTAAAGCAGTGGTTCCTGAACTTCTGGGGTCACAGAGAGCTTTGGAACCTTTAGAACGTTCACAGACATACATACTCACAACTTCTCATAGTATCAGGGGTTTCAGAAGACCCTTTGAGGCCTCCCTGTATACTTTATGGGTTAAGAAACTCTGCTTTAAATGAACAGAAAATAACCCAGGCATTCCTCAAAAACCTCTATTTTTCAGAGAACTTAAGAAGCTGGCAATTAGTTCCACAAAGGAATAATTGTTATTGGAGAATATTAATGATTCTACTACAACAACTACATAAACCAGTACTAACTATATACAAGGAATTAAAAGTCATAAGCCTTAAAATATGGATAATAACTAATTTTTATTGGTCACTTCCTACAAGCCAGGAGCTGTGTGGAGAGCTCTCCACACAGCAGCAGCTCGTTTAACCCTGGCAGCTACCACGTCCTCCCCAGGTCTCTGCTCAGGGAACTGAAGCTTAGAGGAAGAAGGCTGCCCACGGTCACACAGCTAGCAGGCGGCAGTCAGACTTGAACTCCAACAGTCAGATTCTAGACGTTACATTGCACTGCCAGAGAGGAAACCTAAATTTTAATTTTAATTTTAATTTTCAGGGAAATCCCCCCCGTCTCCCAGTCTGGGCTTCAGCCACAGTGGCCTTCTCTTGATTCATCAAGTGTACCAAAATCCTTCAGCGCATCATTTTGTACAAGCTGTGCCCACTGCCTGGGACGCTCTCACTTCTCACACCCTACCCCAGGTTGGGTACCACTGACCAAGAGCCCCCCCGACCCTCAGGGAAAGGCCAGGCCCCAGCTACAGCCTCTCCTGGAATGTGGGCCCTTCTGTCCTAACACTCCCCACGAAGGCGCCGGCCCCAGGCTCTGTGACAGCCTCATGTCTGTCCCCCAGCGGCTCTGTGAGCTCCAGCAGTCGGGGTGGCACCTGACAGGTAGTTAGGTGCTCAGTGAAAAGCAGTGAAATGAAGCAATGAGACCACCAAAAGGAACTTACATGAGTGAAAACAAGTATCCAAAAAAAGGAATGCTGCGATACAGAATCATAAAGAAGCAAGAAGAAGCGCCAGCGCGTGCCTTGATAGACGCCCTCATTTTATAAACAGATGAATAGAGGTGCCCCCAGAGCCAGCAGCAGAGCTAGGATTCTTAGAACCTCAATGTTCTATCTTTCAGCCCAATGTTCCTTCAAAAGATGTGCAGAAGCTCCCACCAAGATGAAGGCTGAAAGAACGACAAGGCCAAAGGGGAGGGTCGCCGTCTCCCAGGCCAGTGAAGGGAGGGGAAGGAGAAGCCCATTTCCTGCCAAGACGTTCCTCGTTCACAAAACTAGACAATTAGAAAAAAACTCAGTGAATTAACAGTTTTCAGGCCCTCAACAGGCAGCAGAGGACTAGGATCCTCCAGAGAAGGCACACCAACAAGGAGAGGCCTGGCATGGCAGCAGCTGGCTGCCGAGAGGGGTCCCAGCTACAGAGAGGGAAGTGTGAGGGGGACAAGGCGACGACTTCCTAGAAAGAAAGGCACAGAGAGCACGTGCCCTAACCGGAAATACTGATGAATTAAACTTCTTCAAAACTGCCAACTTCTGCTCTTCAAAAGACATTGTTAAGAAAATGGACCACCGAGCCACAAACTGGGAAGAAAGTATTTGCAAAACTTACATGAGACAGGATTTGCATCCAGAATATATAAAGGGCTCCTACTCAATTTTAAAAATAGGGGAAAGATTTGAACAGACATCTCACCAAACAAGATACACAAATGACAACTAAGCATAGGAAAAAATGTTCAATATTATTAGTGGTCAGTAGTAAACAGGGAAACGTTAATTAAAGTCACAATGAGATCATGCTACCCACCTACTAGGAAGGATAAAAATTTTTTTAGCTGACTATATTAAATATGTTGGCATGGATACAGAGCAACTGGATCTCTCACATGTTGCTGGTGGAAATGCAAAATGGAGAAGCTACCAAAATGGTTCGGCAGTTACTTAAAAAAAAAAAAACATTTCCCATCTGACCCAGCAATCCCATTCCTAGGTATTTACTAGAGAAATGAAAACATATGTTTATACTTAGACTTGTATTTGTATGTTCATAGCAGCTTTATTCATAATAGCCAAAAACTGGAAATAACCAAAATATCTAGCAACTGCTAAGTAGACAAATCATTGTATATCTATACATGGACTGCTTCTCAATAATGACAAGGAATGAACTACTAATAGGCAACAATATAGATACATCTCAAAAGCATATGAAAGAAGCCAGGCACAAAAGATTTCATCTGCATAATTTTGCTAATATGAAATTCTAGAGAAGACAAAAATATAGTAATATATAGTAGATCAGTGGCTGCCTTAGGTCAGGGGTGGAGAAAGGTGTGACAGAAGGCATGACATGAAAATGTTTTATCTCCTGATTGTGGTTGCACAACACTATGTACTTGTTAAGACTCATTTGTACTTGCTAAGGCATTAAACTTCAGTGAATATTACTTATATAGACATCAATAAAGGTAAAAGAAAGAAAGGGAGAAAGAGGTGAGAAGACTGTCCATGCTTCTAGTCTTCCCAAGATGGCTCTAGAGGCTAAAATGAAATACGTGGCAAGTTGCTGGCACTGCTGTGATGAAAACAACTCTTAAAAGAGCATCTAACTTCCTTTGCCCTGACTCCATATTTATGAAGCGGCCTTGTGATCTTGACAAATTCCTGAGAATTCCAATTCAGATCCACAAGGAGTTATGTGGTCTTCAGTAGACCTTCATTTTAAAGGTATGTAGGAATGTATCTTAAAGTTGCCAGGCTATTTACATTTCTGGGTATGGTCCCATCTGCTCCTGAATGGTGCTGAGCCAGCACTGTCAAGTTCTTACACTAGACTTTGTCCAGCAGGAAGCTACTGACCTATCAACCAGGATATCTTAGCCTTCTGGGAAAATATTCATCTCATTCTAAAAAATAATAAACTGACATTCTGATTTCGATTCTAACATCAGTCTTTGTTTCCAGCCCCATTATTATTACCCTAAACTAGTGCAGATTACCAGAGGAGAATGGGCATTGGACAACTACATTCAAACGCAGTTACTGAGATTTCCAAAATCTTATGGTAGAGTTCAAGAGAAAGGAACCCTTCCCACAAAAAAAGAGAAAGAAATTAGGTAACATTTAAAAATTCAAGAAGAAAGGAGGACATTCCCCAATACCAGAAAGCAAGATAGAAATCAAAGTGAAGGTAGCTAGCAGAAGTTGATACCCTATGGTAAACAATTAAGACCTAGACATAGGTCTAAGGCACTAGATTCCTAATGCCTAAATGGGGATACAAGATATGGGTAATGAATCTGAAACCAAGCCCTCAATACAAGACAGCTGTAGAAAGGGACTACAGTTAGGGTAACAGTAGGGGAAGGGGTAGTCACTCCTGGGAAATGAAAACTTATGACGTACAAGTGTGAAGTCCAGATTGATTCACACCTCCTGCAAAGTGCAGGAGTCCCACACTGATGTCCTGAGAGGATTGCTGTGAGATTTACTCAAATTCCAGGCAACCCAGCAGAAGCAAACAAGAAGCTTTTCTAAAAAGTTTCATAATCCAGTAAGTATGTAACTTCATAAAACAATCCCTGCTGAAAATAAAACAAGCAATAAAA